ACACACACACACAGCCTCCCGACAATATGCGTTTTTTCTGGCTGTAGCTGCTATAGCGCAGCACAGCAAAAACGCACAAAAAATGCGTAGAAAGTTGCATAACGGAAAGGAAAACAAGTTATTTCAAAATTCATTTCAATAAGAAACTTTTATTTACATTTCAGCAGCTACTGGAGGATATAGCGCAGTGGCAAGCAGAGCTAGTGCTGTGCCGGAACTTCAATGTTCGACTTCGTAGGGGGGACAACCAAAATCCTTACAAATTATTCGTCTTGAGACTAGCAATGACGCATAGCAGAAAGTCACACGTACCGTCAGCTCGATTTTATGTAAACCTCGGAACAGAGGTTTACATAAAATCATCAAAAACTTGGCAGCGAGTGATTGCTACTGCTGTATGCTATCATTCGGGTAACTTCCGAGTACTACAGCAGTTCGAAAATGGTGAATATGAAGTCGGCTTTGGCTTTTCGATTACCTACCTATTCACTTATTTACAGTTCTCAAGCACTTTTTTAATGCACTGTGTAATAAGCTTCATTTCATAGGGATTAACAAGATGAAGCTTCGAAAAAACTTCATCCGCGGCTGGTTATATGAAGTTCATCGTTTAGTTTCCTATAGGCCTCTTCCATCCGTGTTCGACACTCACTCGATAAGCTATCTACGTCTGGAAATGCTTGCGAATCAACAGCCGGAAGGATTTCGATGATTACATGGCCGCCATAGTCGAATTTACAATCCGCCTTAAAGTCATTTAGAAGCAACATCAAATACGATTATAGTGACAGCAAGCCCTACACAGAATCATCTCTACTACCAAAGAAAAAAAGCAATATCCACGCGCCAGTCCTCATCAATCGCCTGGATATTCACAGTTATTTAGGAATTTCAAGTCAAACAGTGGAAATATTATATCTATAAAAATGTCAAAGATTTGTACATTCATCTGAAACTTTTCCCTCTTTTAACTTTTTCGATATCAGAGGAAAGAGGTTAAAAAATTTCAAGTTTCTGCTGTGTTGTACCGGCAAAAAGATCATTGAGGTAAAAGATGGTCGAAATGAACAAACTCCTAGCATATTTGAAGT